GGCTCTGGGAGGCTGAGGCAGGAGGATTGACAATTTGAGCCCAGCCTAGGAAACCTAGCAACTTAGCAAGACCCTGGCTCAAAATAAAAATTTTAAAAGGCCAGGGATGTAGGCTTGAGTTCACTCCCTCATACAGAAAAAAAAGCATGCTAATATTTGTAAAATGCCTGTTTTCTTTAAAGAATTTTTTACTCAGGTACAGTCAACAATAATTGTATATATTTATGGTGTACAATGTGATACTTTGATATGTATATACATTGTGAAATGTTTAAACAAAGCTAATTGACATATTTATCACCTCACACTTATTTTGTACTATGAGAACATTTAAGACCTACTATTTTAGCAATTTTCAAGTATACAATACATTATTATTAACTATAGCTATCATACTATACAATGGGTCTCCCAAAATAATGCTTATTTTCAAAATAGCTTTATCTATCGCTTCTTTCTTATAATATTTTAAAAATTGGGGTTTTCTTGCCTATGAAAGTAATACAGGCTCATTCTAGAAAGTTTGAAAAAGTTAAAGAAGTTTTAAAATGAAGGGGAGCCAGGCATGGTGATACACACCTGTGGTGCCAGCACTGGAGGAGGCTGAGGCAGGAGGATGACAAGTTTGAGCCCAGACTGAGCAATTTTTTTTTCTTTTTAAGACAGGGTCTCTCTATGCAGTTCAGGTTGGCCTTGAGCTCACTTTACAGCAGCCTGGGCAATTTAGTGACTTAGCAAGACCCTGTCTCAAAATGGAAATATAAAAAAAGATTTCATTCCCAGTATCCCAAAGAAAAAGAGGGGAAGGGGAGAGAAGGAGGTATGTGTCTGTAGTTGTATCATCCCAAGTCAACAACTATTAATACTTCTTTATTTTGCTTTATTCTTCCATCATGACAGGGCTGTGCTCAAAGCTGGTGAATAGCCATCCTTTTCTTTTCTTTTCTCTTTGTCTTTTTGAGACAGGGTCTCGCTATGCAGTTCAGGCTGGCCTTGAGCTCACTTTGTAGCCTTGGCTGGTCTGGAATTTGCAATGATCCTCCTGCCTCAGCCTCCAGAATTCTGGGATTACATCAGATTTTTTATTTGTTCATTTGTTTGAGACAGAGTCTTGCTGGTCTTGAGTTTACTGTGTAGCCCAGGCTGGCCTTGAACTCATGGTGATCGTCCTGTGGGCTACCATGCCCAGATAGCCACCCTTTTCTAAACGGGAGTTTTGGGACAGGGCCTCACTATGTAGTTCAAGCTGGCCTTGAGCTCACTTTACAGCCCAGGCTGGTATTGAACTCACAAAGATACTCCTGCCTCAGCCTCCCGAGTGCTGGGATTACAGGCGTGCACTACATGTTGGGCTTGCTTGTATTTTAATATAGTTATAACATGCTGTTATTTAGGCTCCTTTTATTCTCAGGGTCCAGCAGTAAGGAACGTGAAGTGGCCACAATGTTAATTAGTCCCATCTCTCTCTAGTGCTAATAAGTAGCAGAGCTAGAGCTGGCTGCCGCCTAGTTCCAGCCCTCCATGTTTCTTTCTTTAAGTCTCTTGGTTAAATTTTTCTCTTGCAGTCATAATTAACATTCTGCAGGCATTTCATCCGCAAGGCTCAGGGTCTTTTGCTTTGTGTGTATGGTGTTAGAGACTTCTTAATGTCAGCATTTCTCATATCGGGGCTGCTGATGCTTGGGCATAGGTGAGAACTATTCCACACGCCCCCCCCCCTCCCTTGTGGTTAGGAAGAATCCGTGACTAAGGCCAAAGCAGAGGTGAGTAGGAGTGAGTTCCCAGGTTCTTGTCCTGATGATGGGGCAGTGTGTTACAATTACCGAGTCCCCAGGTGGCATGTCCCTGGGTCCCTGAAACGCTGTTTGCAGAGAGGCTGCCTGGACAGCCACGGACCCACTATGGAGTCCTGTGGGCAAAATAATGACAACAACAATAATAATAATTGTTGTTATTTCTGCGTGTTAGGATGCTAAGATCTCTATGGTTTGTACATTGCCATAGCAGACGTTATCTTACACTAACTAGCCTGGATCCAGCTCTCTAAGATTGAAAAGCACTACTTCGGGCCAACCCGTCTCCTACCAGTCATCTATTCTTTTGTTTTTTGTCTTTTTGAGACAGGGTCTCACTATGCAGTTAAGGCTGGCCTTGAGCTCACTTTGTAGCCCAGGCTGGTCTCAAATTCCTACGGGTCTCCCTGCCTCAGCCTCCTGAGTGTGGGATTACAGGCGTGCACCCCCAGGCCCCGCAAGACATCTATTCTTGTGGAGACACGTATTCTTTCTTCCTTTCAGCAGTTGAAAAGCTGTTCATTTATAGAAGCCAGAAGCTGAAAGGCTGCTCTTACAATGGGCTTTCAAAGTGGTGCCCTGGAGCTTGGGGAGCCGTGTGCATGGGATCTGGGGAGAGGAACCGGGCCAACCTCTCCTTTCAATGGAACCCAGCCCAGCTCTATCTTTGGCGTCACAGCAGACAGCCTGTGTGATACAGACAGCATCCCTCCCTTCGGGAAGCCGCAGTCAGCTGGAGGTGATGTGCCTTGAAGCAGCCTCAAAGGCCAAGGGCGCTAACCAGCGTCATCAAAGAAAGGGGGAAAGTCAACGTGCAGAGGATGCCGTGGGTGCACAATAGGTGACGGTTTGGTTCAGGAGCCACAGTTAGTTAAGATACTCTTTGCGGTCCCGTGGGGTGAGATGGCAGAGGAAACTGAGGCACTGCAATAAAATCGGGGGGCCTTAGATTTATGGCCTTTACACATTCAACTTTTTTGTTTCAACGGGCTCTGAGAGCCTGCGGTGTCCTACAGATGCACATGTCAACTCAAGTGGCAGACTCACTCAGCGCACCCCACAGCGGGGATTAGAGATGCAGATGGGAGGAGGAGGAAGACCTTCCTGTCTCCCCGCAGCAAGGAAATAAAAAGCTTAGGAGGCAGCTGGGCATGGTGGCGCACGTCTGTGATCCCAGCACTCGGGAGGCTGAGGCAGGAGGATCGCTGCGAGTTTAAGACCACCTGGGCTACAAAGGGAGCTCAAGTCCAGCCTGAACTGCATAGCGAGACCCTGTCTCAAAAAGACAAAAAAAAAAAAAAAAGTTTAAAAAAAATATAAAAGCTTGGGAGATAAAAAGCCTCTCCTAAACATGCAGCCGCAGCCTCAATGTGCTGA